ATTTGAAGTGCCTTACTCCAATCAGTAAGGTATTCAAGGCAGTAAATGTTATGTTGAAGCAAAATTTTAGAAGATTATGAAATATTTTGCATATCTTATTAATTTTTTACTTAGTATTTTTGTATTAATGGAAAGACCTTTTGATTACAACTCCTTTTTTTTCTTTTCCTTTTCAGTAATTTAGTAAGTGGGCATTATAAATTCAGTTAAGCTAGGAACGTGTTAAAAAGTGATGTCAAAAGGATTCAAGTTGATTCCTCCTTATTATTTTGCCAAAGACAAAAATTACTTTGAAAGTGGTTAACTCTTAACTCTCTATCTAGGACCTGGGTTGCTTTTGGTTTTGTTTGATTTTCTTCTTTTCTTGCATCAATATGAGTTTTTACAATACAAATCTATGACTGAGTTTTCAGTTATGTGTGGAGAAGTTTATTAACTTGAAACTGTCAGTATTTTTGTATTATACCCTGCTTGTTAGTGTGCATCTAGATTTCAGTCTTGATAGGGCTTAGGAAGGAAGGCAGGCTTGTAAGTTGTAAATCTTGTAGAACATTTTGGAACTCTTAGTGTCCTTTTCCCAAACATATTAGGCTGTTATTGACAGCATCTGAAATACCGACAATTGGTTGTTTTGATGAAGAAATAAATGTACGCTGCAATAGAAGCAAAATAGTCTGAAATTGACATAAAAGCTCTCCTTTTGAAATAGGGAGCCATCAGCTGGGCTTATTTAGCAACAGTCAGCTCTTAACTGGTAAATTATCTTTTTTTTTTATTACTTCACCTAACAAGTAAAAAAAAAAATCATGAAAATGTCAGGATATTACTCTAAATACACATGAGAAATAGATGTGGCAAGTAAAAAAGTGTTCTTTTTTGTATACTTCACAAGTAAATGCGTAGTCTGAGCCTGAGGGTGACAAATTGTCCAACTTATTACAGAGTACCTTACAAAATGTTTCAGAGCTTTCTATTTTCAAAAATTAGGTCTGTATACACCATGCAGAATCACCTCTGTTTTTCATTGGGTCCCTAGCCTATTATCAGCATTTGTGCAATGCTTGAACAGATTTCAGATACTCTAGTGTTTGAAGGCACTGGCTAATTTATGGCCGACTGCCAAGTGTGTGTCTGTTTGCTGACATAACCCTGTTATCCTTTATATAACTTGCACAAGGCTATGTGTGTTGCAGATGCAATCTGCAGTGCTGTGAGCCACTCATATTTATGGCAGGTGGCTGGAAACACAGATTTGAAACCACTTTTAATTTGCTGTGAATAAGTATGAAGCTTTGGTGAACTAATGGTATTCTGATAGTTTAGGTTCAGGAATCAGGTTTCCTTATTTTGTCTGAGAGTTCATGGTAGGTGTATCTTAATGCTACCCATCCTTCTGGCAGATACTAATCTGCTAGACAGTGACACCTATACACCTGCCATTCAAACATTTGTTGTTCCCAGGCTGGACTACTGCAGTGCTATATGTGCCTAAGTGTTGCCATATTTTTTAAAAATGTTTATTGCTGTTGCTATTACTAGCTTCTGACAAAAAAAGTGAAAGATTTCTTCTATTAAATTTGTGTTTTGAATGCGCTTATTATGAAAAACTGAGCAAGATTTTATGTTCTAGGGAAAAAGATAACTCTGATGGTGACTTCCCTCTTTTGCCTTTCCTCTTCATTGCACGCACATGAACACACTCAACCCTCATTTGTTGAACTGTCTGTTTCTGACACGTGGTGAAAAACTCTGTACCCTTTCTTGCCCTGAGTACTGTAAAAAAATTTTAGTTGTTAAGCAAGAATTTTCTGAGTGAGTCATAGAGAAGATAGAGAAACTTCAGGGAATTTGGAAAAAACCTTTGCCTGTGGGATAAACTAAAAACCTGGAATGTGTTATGCTTACCTGAAAAAATGATGACTAGCCAAGATGTTTGAAACTCTGCAGTAGAAGACATGATTCCAGTAGAATGTGATACCATGCTATTGGATTTAAATCAGTGTCCTGCAAGGCACTGGTTAGAATGCGGAATGTTATGATTCTAAAACCTCTCAATGGGGAGGCATGCATTCCTCTGAAAGATGTCACCTTAGGGTGCAGTACCACTCAGTGAAGGTATACAAGCTGGAATATTCTCATTCAAATATGAGAAACTAGACAGAAAGCAGAACATTATCTGAGAGAGCTTGGTGCTCCCAAATTTTCCTACTTTAAGGTGAGCTGCATTTGGTGTATTTATTTACTGAGCATGAGAGAGAGGATGCAAGTGGGATGCTATCTTGATGCACAGTAACCAATTGGTTAGAATGTGCATTAAGTGTTGGGTGAATAGGAGCTTTCTTACAAGTAGACTGCTTTATAACTATATTTTAAATGTTTTGTGGAATGCCTAAAACAAAAGATAGCATTTCTTTTTAAACAGGATATGTATTTGTTGAAATAAATGAATAATTTATTTACTTGCTATCTTGGTTGTATGTCTCCTTTCTGTGGATCCTTGTCAGGATGTACTTCAAATGGATATTTTTAGAGAACAGTATTGGTCTTTGGGAATAATTGAAGCATAGCAGTAGGTGAGTTATATGTCCCTGTAGTTGGCCTTTGGGCCTTTTGAATGTCAGTTTTTTTAGTAATTTCATTACTTGAAAACATGCCATGGTGATTAAGTGTTCACATCTTTTACCTAAGAAAATCAATTGCCATCTTTGCCTTGATCAGTCAGGAAAATTGCAAGCCTTACTATGTTGTGTTCAACTGTCTCCATGTTATACATAAAGCAAGTACAAGATAATTTTTCCATTTGACTTTTCTTCAGTCTGGTTTTGTCTCTCTTTTCGTTAATGCAGACCAGGTAGTATGACTCAAAAGGAGTCTAACTGCACGCCTTCTGTTTATAGATATTTGTCTAATTGCTTGTGTGTTTATTTCAATACGTGTGTGAATATGTGTTTGTATATTTATTTGCACGCCTGCATGTACTTGTGAAACTACCTTTCAGCGTTTACTTCTAAAGTGTTTGACTTAGTCCTCAACATTTCTGCAATTTCTGAGCTTTAAAAAAACTTGTGGCAAATACAAACATGTAAAGGAACAAGTGCAATTCAAGAGTCTTTTGGTATCAAGCGGCCTAAGTGGATATGTTGAAAAAACCAAGTATTTCAGTAAGGAACAGTCATTGGAATGCCTTTCAATAGTTTTACCAGTTTTCAACATACTTAAATTAAAAAAAAAAAAAGTGCTGTATGGAATAAATATTTGGGAATATTTATCTTTAAAAGAATCACAGAACTAAACCAAAATGACTAATGTCTGTATGTTGGCTTAACTTACTTCAGCTGATTATCTCAACTGATGTATAATGAACTTCATCTTCAAGAAAATCAAATCATCCTCTGAGATACTTAAAAATAGAATTAATAGCTTAACTTCTCTCATCAGAACATGACAATCTTTTTGGATGCTTTAAGTGCTTAGGGAGAAATTTACTTAAAAAAAGAAGCTACTTGCAATGAGATACAGGAGGTTACCTTTTTTTCACTGTTTCAGGATTGGTAATAGTTTAAAAAGCCTGCGGACATGACCCTTATTTTGAAAGCTCCAGGTGCCAGATCTCTATCAAGATGATATTTTTCAGAAGGATTTTACAAACTTTTTGAAAACTTAAGATAATATTGCAGAATAGTAATAATAATAATAAAATGATCTTGAAATAAGCCTTCCCATAAACTTCAGGCAATTATAATCCAAATTTGAGCAATTTAATGAATATGAGTTATTTGATATTCTAGTTTGTTTTATTTAGTGTTGTAACAACTTCATAACATTTAATAAATAGTAATTGACATCTGAAAACAAAAAAGTAATTTCTTCAGCTTGTAAACATTTTGTAACATATATGTTTCTGTAGAAAAAGCACTGCTGAAGATCCTAGTAATGAAATAAAATCTTTTTTTTTCCAGTAGAATGAAAAAGTCCTAAATAGACACAAAATGCTGACCTCCCTTGGTTTTTGCACCAGTTTTGTGTCTAGATAGGTTTGATTACACTGCAAATCGGTATTATGCTAGAATAGCGTTATCAAGTTAATTATCTAAAAACTCATCCCAGCTTCCCATAACTTTCAAAAGCCAGGTGAATGGCTGAGTGCATGCAGTACATGCAGTGATGCTGCCACTGGATATGCCTATTATAAGCTGGTTTGTACGAAGCCATTCTACTAAATACCTGTTGAGATCTGCAGCTGTAGCTGTAGGCTTTATCATGTGCAAATTATCCCTCCTTTTGGAAGTAAGTTCAGAATTCATCTGAGGTTGTCTCACTCCTATGACAGTTACTGTTACATTTGAACATATTTTCCAACTTATTCCTGTTTTTCAAAGAGATGCCGGGCAGAAATGTCTGGTCTTTTCCTAAATATTAGCCAGCCTTCATATCTCTCCTCTCTAGAATAATTCTGTTGAAACTGTCTCCCTGCATTTGTTACTAATGTATTTTCTTAAGATTTTCCTGTATCTTTATACTGTTACCATTAAAACACTAAGGAAAATCCCACCTGTCCCTGAGGTAATCATTAAAGAATCTTTGGATTGCTGATGCTGTTTTCAATTCCCTGCCACAATTTTTTTTTCTCGTTTTCCCCCACTAACAGTAGTTGAATTTGTTTTTCTGCACTTCCTTTTTATGTAATTTTTAATTTGAATAGCTTTGTATGTAAAATAAAACATGGAAAGTGAAAAGCTAAAAATCAGCACATTATGAACAACATATATTAATGGCATTAGATTAAACTTACAGAGAGATGTTGAATCTTGAGACTTAAGTGAAATTAAGTGTTTATGGAATAAATCTGTGTTACACAAGAGCATAATCACAAAAATCTCCCTGACACATAAGATTCATGGAATGTAAAAATACAAATTGTGCAATGCCTTTCAGTGAGTATTTTGTCTTATAAATCGAGAATATTTACATAGTTTTCAACTGTTTCTTTTTCCTTGCAGTACTTGGGGTGTATAGAAGTCTTGCGTTCAATGAGATCTCTTGACTTCAATACTAGAACACAAATTACAAGGTAAGACTTTATACAAGTATATATTTAAAATAAAGTATGAATTGTTTCCACAGAGAGGAGGGGATATGAAAATAGCAAGACAAGACATATAGTAAATATTTTATGGATACCTTAAATCTGCTTTTTTTATTTTGCTTTCAAAAACTCAAACATCACACCTAGTATTAATAGAGCTCCAGTGGAGTCTAAGGAATATATTCCTTCTCTTTCTCTTTTTTGTTCTAATTTTTTAATTTTATGTGCCAGATACTGCTTTAGAAAATTTTAGTCTGTTTTTCAAATTATGCTGCTCCAAAAGGCACTTAGCTAGCTAGTACTTTCATGACATTTAGGCTACCAAGAATGAGAACTATGTTTATAATCTGTATACAAGTCTACAAGGCATTTGTCCAAATTAGTCAAGGGAGCTAAAAGAAATGAATGGACATGTTCTTTTCCAGATAACACGTAGCAAACAACAAGCTTATATTAGACTCTCTTTACAATTCTTCTTTGAAAGCTATCCTGGTATTGTTTTAAAGGTAGTATAGTGTCTTAAGAAGTGACCATGAATCACTTCATTTCTAAGATATATTTTGAGAGCAGTAGCAAATAGTATTTTGAAGATGTTTTCACTTGAAAAGCTGAGGTCATTGATGCAGAGAACTGTAGTGTTGCCATCTTCCAGCAACTGGGATCACATTTCAATGACCATAGTCACAGCTGCTGATAGTCTTTCATAAAGCATGGTCATACTATAGGTACCTAAGTATTTCTGTCATTAAATGAGTAAAATGACTTACTTCAGGCTTGGATGCCATTCTTGTGGTCTGTATGTACTGCCTTTGAGTTACCCTCGCATATATCAGCTTTGGATAGGACCCTGTGTGTCCCTAAAAATATTTATCATTTACTTGTCAAGACACTGATTTGATGAGGAACATAAAAACACAAGGAGAGATTAATAGTTGAATTCTGAATTTCAGACAATATAGACAATGGTGTCATCTGAGAATTTTCTTACTGTGTTGTTTTAAACTCATAGTGTACATTTCTGTGTTATTTGCAACAGTGAACTTCTAAAATGCTTGTATGTCCAGGCAGACTTACAGTTCCAGTGTTATGGTACATCTGTGATGATCACTTGGAATTTAGATGACTTGCTGTGGTAGGTTATTTTTCTATATTTCATAACTGAGGATGGAGTTCAGCTCTTTTTTTTTTTTTTTTTTTTGTGTGTGTGTGTGTGCAGTCTCTTTACACTTTATGCCTCCAATGAAACAGCATTCCAATTTTCTTATTATTTTGCTTATAGGCACAACTCTGCTTCTGATACTTAAGCATATACTTATGCATAAACTTAATTGTACTGTTGATCTGAAACCAGTGCCATTTGCACAAAGTATTGTGTCTTACAACTCTTTAAATACAAAATGCTTTTTGGCTTTCATTGTGAAACAGACTTTGAATCACATTTTTTTCTGTTATGTTATAGCATATTTGACTACATGCTGGATACACTGTTGGCTTATCTTCCCTTGACCACGTGCAGTGCACAGGATATTTTTTCAAGCAGGAAGCTCTGTTTTCATGGTTTGCTTATTGTTTAGCGTTTTCTATTTTTTGATTCATAAAATAACAAGAACTTTCTAATTCATCATTCTGATCATACTATTCCCAACTAAAACTTATTCTGAAGTTGGAATCTTTAGTTCGAATTGGAATCAGAATCTAGCACCTTAACTTGCATTTCATTAATTCCTCTGGCTCCTGAAATCCTCATGTCATGCTTTAAGTACCTGCAGGAAACAATCTGATCAGGATTCATCCTGTAGCATTTCATGTACGAGCCTATTTTTTTAATTAGTTAATACTAATTGCTACTAAGGAATTACTAAAACTCACATTTGCCAGCTAGCTTGCTCATGTGCACTAAGAAGCATAACATAGGCTTGAAGGTATGTTTTGAATTATTATAGCTGATATTCTCATATTTCAAGCACCAGTTCCCTCTCAAATCGACACCTGTAACTCTGTACAACCCTTTAATTACAAATAAAGTGGAAGTACCTGAAAGCTATGTCTATTTGGGAGTGAGAATTGTTTCAGTTTACCTCTGTCTGCATGAACTGCTCTGAATGATTCCCTTGGCTCTTGTCAAAGCAGTAGGCCCTTCCCTGTGGCCTGCTGCCAGCCAAGGGCTGCACTTGTGATCCAGCTGTTTGTGGCAGGACATCACTGGGCTCCACATGTTCTCAGCTCCCTGCGGCTGCGCTACAAGGTCCTCTGTGTGAGGGGCGATGTGAAATTCTCTGTGTGTTTTTCTTTTTCTGGAGAAAGAGACTTCCTAGCTGCTCTGTTTCTTTTCTGACCCACTACTTAATAATTCAAACCTACTTTATAAATGTAAGCTTGTATCATAACTTTTCAATATAATGCTGTTTTTTTTCCTAGACTTTGCAAAATCAATCACAGAAGAAACTGATCCATTTTGGGCCAATCTAATTTCCGGTATCATGCTGTATTTGCCAAGCAGCGTAAAAGTCATTCAGAAAAGATAATCCAGGTTATCTGGTGTGTGTGGAAACCTGGATATACCTTTTCCTAACTGGTGTGCATTGTGCTTGACACATACAAAACACTCACTCTCAGGTGAAGCATCTACCCACACCTGCTTGCTTTCTTGTCTTTGCACTTCCTCCGTATTGCAGAGCTCCAGCAAAGGACATCAATCTTTCAGAATTCCATATTAGCTTTTTTTTTTTTTTCCTCTCTCTTGGTTATTTTGTACATCATATTCTATATATCAAGTTGTCTTTCTGCTGGCTCAGAGCAGGAACAATCCTCTAGGAAAGATGAGCAGCACCAATTCATAGAAAAAAAAAACCAGAACTGGCTCAGTCATTGTGTGATTGAGTTGTGTAGTCACTGGCCCTTCTGTAAATACTGGGCATTATTTTGGGAACCATTAGTCTCACTTTCTGATAACTCTGTGATGAAGGGAATTAGTGCTTGACATGTGGCACTTGCATGATTGGTGAACATTTAGCAATTGCTTAAAATCTGGCTACCATTTCCACATAACTAGTTGATTAGACATTCATATTATATAGGAAGAAAATGAGAAAAGATGTATTCATGTCTTTGAAAATTCCATCCTTTATAGTTAACACATTAGGAGAGAATACATGTCAATATGAATGCATGGACTATTTTTGACAAATCATAAATCGTAATTTCAACACCAGGAGCAGGACTGAAGCCAAGCTATCAACAGTCTGATCAGGACTTTTTTCTGTCATAATCGTGGGGTGAATTACAGTTATTACCAATCCATAACATCTAGTGCCATTGTATCTAACTTATGACTTGGTTTTTCTTTTCCACATTTTCACGTATCTTTTGTAAATTAAAATGTTAAACTTGTAGATATACATTTATCTTTGTGCAAAAGCAGTGAGCAAACACTTTCACTTGTCATACTCATCATCATCATGAGATTTTTTACAAACTTGATGGTGCCTGTCAAAAGGTATTTTTATCCTTGCTGTGGAAAATCATTCTTTAGAATTGTTTCAGAATAGCACTCGCTTAATTATGAACTAGGTAAGGGGGTGAAGAGCAAACAAAGGCAATGATGGGCACTATAGAGAGGGATATTGAGCAACAGCTTAGAAAACGGGAGCTAGAGGGGGAGCCAAAGGATGCAAGCTGAAGAATGCAGCCTTATCTCTCTCGTACCACTTCAGGCACTCATGTGCTCACACCTTGGTTCAGGCTGGTTCAGGCTATGACTGCCTCCAGTGCAGTCTGCAATGAAATGCAGTCTGTAATGAAAGGCTGCACCCTTTCATTACACCAGAAGGACAGAATGTAGTTCCCAACAAATGTCTCATGCTCCCTGATGAGGAAGGAGCCAACAGGGACCCCCATCTCAGTGCAGTACTCCGTCATGAGCCACTCAGCAATGTGCTGCCCACCACTCCCTACTCCCAGTTTGCCACGGAACCATTCCTGTGTGAAATGCAGCTCAGTGTTGTTGCTCACCTCCTTCTGCGCAGATTGTCTCCCATGTTTGTTTCTGGCTGGGATGTAGAGTGAGATCCATATGTAATTGATGGAGTCTTTCATCATTTGGCAATCTGCCTTCTGCTCCTTTGTCACACATGGACCCATGGTTCCTTGCCACTCACCTCTGTCAGCCACCTCAGGTTTGGTGGGGCTTGCCACTGGTCAGCTTGCCCTTTATAGCATCCGCTCACGCCCATGCCAGGTGTACAAGCTAGATGTCTGGAGATTATGTCAAGAGGTACTGTCTCACATAAATAGTTACAATCTTTTGATTTTCTCCCTCCATGTCTGCCAAACTTATTTACACCTGCCAAGGTCTTTTGCTAATTAGAGTGAGAATGTCTTTATTTCCCAATGATACGCAGATTAAAGGAAGTGAAATACTGGACCTGGATAAATTAATTGAGGGGGCCTTGGAGAGTATAAAGAAACAGGGATTGTAAATGAAAGAAAGAAATTGGGAAGAACAGTAGCAGTTGCACTAGAAGTGGTACAACTAGCTGAGAAGATGGCTATCATGTACTGTAAAGCCCACCGGAGGGGAGAAACAACTGAATAAGTGGGCAATGCATTAGCTGACTGAGAAACAAAGAGTGGCAGAAATGGAAGACAAGAGAAATGCAGGCTTTGGTTCCAGACAGTAAAATTCAAATTGAAGGTAAACCAAGATATTCAAGAGAGGACCAAAAATTGATAAAGGACTTAGGAGGGCAGGTGAGAAAAGGAGGGTGGATTAGGGTTGAGAACAAAATAATAGTTCCCATCTCCCTGTTATGGGCCATAATCATGGCTGAGCAAAGGAAAAGTCACTAGGGAACCAAGATCCTGTATAAATACCCGAGCCAACAAATTGTGGCTTGGAATTTATACACCATCATTAAACAGGTAACACAGTGGTGTGAGATTTGTTTAATCCTAGAACAGGCCCCAGGGTCCCGTTGGGACAAATA